CCCCCCCCCCCCCCGCCTCTTCTCTTTTGCGACCCATCTCTAGCTCTACGAGAATACCCCTTGCTTTCTTGGATCGCGGGGTCATTCGCGGTGGCAGAACTCGCTTCGTTCGCGAGGTATTATCGTTGCATTATCAGATCGTACTCTAAACGCGATGACGTTGTTCCGCGCATAATCGCGACTCGTCGCAGCTGATGGATCTGATTCGTCGATTTTCACCTTCACGGAAGAAAAGCGTTTTGTTCTTTCGCGATTAATTCGAATTCCCCTCGAAAATAATTGTCTAAACTGCGCATTTATCATGGACGATGAGTCATTTCTATGCCTACTGTGCGAAACTGGATTTCCTGAGAAGTAAAATTCTCTTTTGATTATTAATGATTGAACATAATGGCGACGAGATCCGTTGAATAATTATATTTCCATATTTTTGTTTCCTTAATAAAATTTTTAATATTCATGATAGATGTTGCATAATGTGCCGCCGTTCTTTCTTTTCCCGGTCCCCTGCTAAAGCGCCGGGTTTTATCATTTGCATTGCAGCGTATCGCAGTAAAAGGTTCTCCGCGTTCTTTTTGCCATATACTTCGGTAGATATGTCGCGACAAAAAGTTAAGAGACGTTTACTTCCTGAAAAGTGTTTTTTTAAAAGCTTTTAAAAGTTGTAAACAACAAATGGAGGCCACGTATGCTTAGTTATCGTGCATCAGATAAAATACTGAGTTTTAGATTTCGCCGTATATTAGATGCGTGTGCGAAAATCGCTCGGAGTGTAAAACCGTATTGATAATCTAAATTTTGTAAAATTATTTTTCTAAAAAAAAAAAAAAAAATTATCAAAGCACAATTCGACACGCTTGACGGCTCGAGTGACCTCGTCCAAAAGAGATCCAAATCTAATGTCCCCCCAAAAAAAAATGTGCGCCGAGGCTTTTCATGCTTGCGAGGGAAAGCGGGACGACGGCGCGGCAGTCGGCATCGCGGCCCAACGATCAAAGGGGCGAGGACGTATCGCCGTGGCTGTGGGTTGGCGTACGTCCCGTAGGGGCCCGCGAGCGTGGACACACGAGTGGGCACGCGTCGCGCCGAGAAATCGACGAGACTGGTAAACCCGGCGGATATCGAGGCCGACGTGCGGCGGCTCTCTCGGACGCCGCCGATCTTCCACGAGGTCGTAACGCCCGACGGGCTTAGCCTTAGCGGCTGCCTCCTCTACCCGAGTTGTGGCCGCAAGTCATCAGTCAAGTCTTTGAGGCCGGCTTCAAGCTGCCTCCCCTCCCCTTCGCCCTCACTTCCTTTCTCTCTCGCTCCCCGTCTTTCTCGAGCCTGCAGAAAAAGGCCTTTTGCCGATCTGGCTTGGCGGTGAGATCAAACGTTTCACGGTCCACCGTACGGTGAACCGACTGCGCGCGCGGGTGCGCCGCTCCAGGCCGATATACATAGATATACACGATGGCGGAACGAGAGAGGTCGGAGGACGGTGGGGAAAAAGGAAGGAAAGAACGGGTTGTGAAAAGGAAGAGAGAGACTCGCGCGGAGGGTGAGGAGGGGCGGCGTAAGGGGAAACCTTGCCGGGACGGGGAGAGGTTTCGGTTCGGCGAAGGAAAGGGAAAGGAGCCCCGAGAAGACACCTAAACAAATACGCGTGCCCCCGCTAACCGATCGCAAATTTGTTGAGGTCCGACCTCGAGGTTCGGCCTCGCGGCTGTCGCAGCGCGAATCAGGGCTATTCCATCGCTCCGATCGGGAATGCGAGCAATTATTTCGTAATTTCGGGATATATTTATAGTTGCACTGCCATGTCGGCCGAACACGGGCTGGTCGCGCGCATCGCGGTAATAAAACCGATGTTTTTTTTTGAGTCCGTTGGGTCGATTTCCGGATTAATGTTTCGGCGTAGGCCGATTACGCGATGTTGTTGCGAAATACGCGGATACGAAAATTGCCTGTCGGAAAATATCACGATCAATACATTGGACGCATTCTGTTTATTTATTTTGACACTTGCCCACGCAGTCGTGCATTGAACGAGTGGCGGTCTATTTTTTTCAAAAAATATATTCTTCTATATATTATCCTAAAAGTATCTAATATATTTTGTAGCGCTAATAATTCTAATTATGTTAAAAACGTTTTCTTGTTTTATATTAATCAGATAGAATTTGAAATGGAACGGCTACGCCTGATGTGAATCAAGGATTTAGCATGTTAAAGCATATTTTATTTTAATAATCAGTATATTTTTAATCGTAGTAATCTACTATCTCTTGTAAAATTACCACTTCAATTTTCACGTTAGTCAGAGAAAAAGTTTAATTAACTTGTTAGAAAATAAATTTTTTAAATTACACATTGCAAAGGATAGAAAAACAAGACCACATACCTTTTAACATTTCCAACTGCGAGTGCTATTGTTGTAGGTCTTTAAAAATCAGCTTAGGCTCCGAAAAATCAGTAATTGTTCAAGCACGTGCTTGTCACAAGATGTACGCAGCAACGATCGAGGCTGAAAAAAGGTAAAAAATCAAATATAAAATAAAATTTGCAAAAAAAAAAACGGTACAGGAAATACGCAAAAGACAAATAAAATCAGAATAGCAAGTTTCACGCTAGAAACGTGTGTGTGAAATTCATACTCTTAGCAGGTCTAATTAGCAATCGAGATGAGCAGTTGCGAACACGTGAAAGCAATTTCCTATTTACGATCTGAGAAAACGCGTTGGACAGCGGTATCGTCGTAAAATCCACTCTGCGGTCGTTACGTGTCCTCTCGATATCTCGACCGTGTCCTGATAGACTCAAATGGGAAGAGGATTGCCGAGAGACAAACCTCGTTACGGAGCAGCTACGAATCGCATTATCGATTTGTACGGTGTCGCGGATGGCGGTGGCCGGATAGAATCTTTGATGTGCGCCGAAGAAGGCTTCCGAAACGAGAGCGTACAACGAAGATACGCACAAGCCCGGATCGGGCACGCGTGAAGAATCTCCCGGCGAGGAAGCAGCCGCGAAATGAATACGAAGAAAAGAAGAAGAGGACTCGCCGAAAACGGCGGCACGAAGTACGCGCGAAAGAGAAAGACGAAAAGCGGGATCTTCGAAATAAGCTCCCGTAAAATGATTGCCTACCTACGCGCCCGCTACCGCGCCGTTATGTCCGATTTCGCCTAACTCGTTTCATATCAGTCGGAGTCCAATTTTGTGGAGTGAGCTGACTGTCGAGTTACGCTTCTTGACTCCTGTCGCGCCTTATCTTTTCTAAAACGACGTTGAAACGATGATATGTTGAGACACGCGACTGCGTGCAACGATCGTAAATAATTAATGGGATTCGATGTTATCTTTTGCCTCTTTTATATTACTATTTTTCAGCTTTTATATTAGCTTGGAAAAATGCAAGAGGTTTCGACCGATACGAAAGTGAGATTTCATTTGCAGATACGAATATAACAATTTTCTCCTTACATAGTTTAATCTGTTTAATGCCGCTTCTGATAATTTTTTAACAATTTTGTTTATCCGAACGACATCAATACGACGACAGGTAACACTCGGAATTGCACGCGGTCTCTTTCCTCGTTGGCAAAGAAGCCGCCCTAATATCGAGAAGAGAAGGAGGGCAGATGGTCTCTCTCGCGCGTGCAAAAACGCCATTTCCAGCGCGCGCGGACGAGCCCTCGAAACGAGCGGCCATAATCGATGTTCCGTCTCTCGCGCCTCCGCGTTTCTCGTTTCCTCCCCGAACCTCCAGGCGAATCAAGGTCAAAGTTCGTAGCCGCGGCGCGGCACGTCTCGACAGGGTCCCTGAAGAACGGCCGAGATTTTCCGCGGCGCGGAAGAGCGACTTTTGCCGCTCACCGCCGAGTGTCGGTGGGAGGAAAACGCAATCTCTCGGTTCCGCCGCGCCGCGCGAGTTACGACGGAGGCTCGCGCAAGGGAGAGAGTTAGCAAGAACGCGGTGTAGGCGGCACATCAAAGGCGCACCTCGGGCGTGAACGAGCGAGCGGGCACGCGGCTCAAGTAGAGAGCGGAAGACACCGCCACCAATCCTACCGCCATCCAATATATTTACTCCGATGGACCACCGCTACCATCACCATCGCGCCGCCGCCGCCGCCGCCGTCGCCGCCGCCGCCACCACTACCACCGTCGCCATTACCACCGACGTCACCGTCACTGCTATCGCTGCCGCCACAGCCGCCGCCGCCACCGCGGCCGCAACCGCTGCGTCGAGCCGCGCCGCGACCACCGTGCAACCGCCGTGCCGCAGTCACGGTCGGCGCGCGGATACTTTGTTCGCGGCGCGCCACATCGACTTGACTGAGGCTTCTCCTCTCTTTCTCTCTCTCTCTCTCTCTTTTTTCCTATCAATCTTCGCCAGAAAATACGTATCTTAGATTGTAAATTGCGGTTCCGCATCGACGGTCGTTAATGCTGCCGCGATGTTATTCGCGAGACTTGTCCTCAGTATTGCAGAATATGCAAAACCTCTCATCATTTTTTCCTTTTAAAACACATCCATAATATCATACCAGTTATACATATATAAAAAAAGTCTATTTTGGCAAAATATATCAATATATTGTAGATAATCATCATGTGCATGTATGTACAGAAGTATTGATTGACTATGAAAAATAAAATTATTTCCACAGAAATCACAATTTTCAGATATACTCGAATAAAAGATTTTACCACTGTCATTTTTAAATATTATTAAAAATAATGTAAATAGCGAAGTAAGATACGTACTCTGAAAAGCAAAACCTAGTTACCTCTTTAAACTGAAATATTTTGTTAGAAAAGTCATTAGCAGAGCTTAAGCGACTGCTTTACATCAAGACAAAATTCATAATGATGTACTTTGCGCGTTAAATAACACAAAACGCGAAGGAAAATTACAAGGGAGAGTGTGTTGTAAAATTGTTCGCGTGCTCTATTCGTTGCTTTCTTTAGATAATCCGAGTCCGAAAGTTTTCATTGCAGCGTCGGTCGTCTGTGGTAGTTGATTCAACCATGTTATTCAACAGTCGTGCAGTTTCGCTTCGAATGCGGATCTGCAGAAATGTAGTTTTAAATACGTGGATTGCGAGAAAGCAGTGTGCAGCAGCCAGCTCGCTGAACTTTTCGCATCGTCCATTTTGAGAAAATAAAACCTTTGATTGCAATTTGCAGCCTCGTATATCTCGAATAGCGCCTGCCAGTATTGTTTGGAATATACAATGCTATGTGTTCGTGGTGTGCATTGCAATTTTGATCCGGCACATTGAATCATGTTTCTTCAAACTTTCTTAATTTCTAACCATAATAATCAAGGCTCCAGTTAAAATTTTGTTAGAATAAATATATTTGCACGCCTGAAAATATGCATAAATTCACTAAAAATTTCTAATCTAATACTCGAAGCAAACTTAATTCCAAATTGGCTGAAAAATCCATAGATAACATTTGCAAAAATTGTTCATTTGCCCGAAATTTGCATCGGAGAATTACAATGACAGTTAATCAATCGGTCTCTTTAACCAATTTTTTTCCTCTTCTATGCAAAATTTCGCGACATTCCCGACGAATTGCACATTCGCGCGGATAATTAGCGCCGACGAGAATCGCGACCTATGTTAGAACTAGTTTATGAACCCGGCGTCGGGGAAGTGCGTTGATCCCGCGGATCGCCGGCAAGCAGACCGACCGATAAATTAGTTGCCAAGAGATATCTCCTTCACTTTTCCCTCGTGCGGCGTTCGGAAGGCGCGCACGATGCGGCGCGGCGAAACCGAACGAAGCGAGCGAGCAGGCGAAGGCGAGGCAGGGCAAAGCAGTCATATTTCAGCCCTTGTTAGGACGAGGGGCCCCTGCCGAGACGGGCCGGGGAGAAAATCTCTTTGACTCGCCGCTCCGTGCCTTAATCCACTGGCATATACCCTATCTTGCCACCTGCTCTCTCTTCCTTCCTCGTCTCTTCCTTCCCTGCACCCTTTTATGCGCGCCTATCTCCAGCTTTCTCTCTCTCTCTTTCTTCCTCTCAGCACCGTTGCCTCTTCTCTTTCTTTCCTTCTCTCTCCATCGACGTAAATTACGGCGGATATTTACGCGTCTGTTCCCTCCCCGCGGTATCGTTCGGATTCTGATCTGCGCTATGCGTCTACCGTCCTCGATTACTGCAGGATGTTATATTAATTACCACATTTAGTCTTGGCTAGTGCACGCAAACATTTGCCCGCTTCTACCGGTCATGTTGACGTTCTCAAGCGCTTAGGCTATAAGGGGACGTATTTGCCTTTGGGGTGTTTTGATATCGAGCGTAAAGTCGCCAAAGTTTCAAAATCAATTTCCGATTAACATGTATAGATGAAGAATAATGTTGTCGCATGAACACGCCTGTGTATATTAAACTTCCACTGTTACCAATACACAGCACCCGGTTATTTTATAAAGGATCAAGGGAAAGCCGATTTGTTTTTATAACGTGTCCTCTATATTTTTCGGAGGATTAAATAAGAATCGGTCTGCGGAATCCAGCTTTCCTAAATACTCTATGTCGCATAGAAGTAATCGTAAAGATACAGAAAATATCACGCGCCCCGGCTTCCGTCCGCAAAACAGCCGGTCGGCGCAGAAGCGCATAGCAAAGCCGAAGCATAGCGAAGTCTGTCCGACATCTATCCCCGTGGACAGCTCAATCGCTGGAACCGAGCGCGTATCTCGCCTCACCTTCGTCCGAACGCTTCCGCGCTCCGTTAAAGAGGCTGATCTTTTGCCGACGAAGCGGCGCGAGAAGAAGGAGAAGGCTGGCCATGGAAGGTTTCAAATGCGCCGTCATCCGTGCGAAAGAGATACGCCTCGAGCCATACCTCTCACGAGTTGATCCGGCAAAGTTCCAGTCCTCAATGTCCCGCATATACCGCGATACCAACTTGCGAACGATGGCACACTGCGGTTAAGCGGCGAGGAAAAGTTTCAAAGGAAATAATCTCCTAAAAGTTACACTTGTGTGTCAATGTTTATCTAAATGCGGAAAAGATTGTTTCTTTCGAAACTTTAATATCGAGTTTCACATCGATACTTTGAAATGAAAAGATAATGCACGGGGATCCGTGACCCATAAAAGAAAAAAAAAAGCGGAAAGAAAATGCAGAACATGTTGAACGTGAAAGATTTGCTCTTTCATTTTTGCGTAGCAGGATGTAATGTAAATGTATCCGCATACATTGATTGTAGGTAGGTATATTTGATAAGCTACTTGAAAAAACAGTGATGGAAATATAGAGGCAAACGAAGCTTCCCGGAGGGATATGTAGTCATATCGGTGCGCGTGGCGATGAGATTCGCATTTTTAATTTAATGTCGAATTTGCATGATATATTATTCTCTAACACGGGCGCACAACAGGATACCAGTTGATAGAACCGTTGGTAATGAAAAATGAAAATCGATGGTAATGCGAAAAAAAAAAAAAAAAATAATGAATATTCATCCTCTGCCAACTACGGACCATTCATTATACGC